CCTTGCCAAACAAATTCAATATCATTATTATTTTAAAAATGATTTTAATCCCAAGAGCCAAAATCTACCAAACCTAGGCTCTGATACCAACTTGTAACACCCCAAGTTGGTTCATACTGGAAATACTACCGATACACTGCATCATGAGGTCGTCACCTTTTACTTCGGGCCCCAAAATACAGTGTTAAGGCTAAAATTAACCATAAAAGCACATTATTATATAACAAAATCTGATTTATGAATATTTACAAAACACACTCCTAAACAAGAAGTTTTTCCGGTTAAAAATTTACATACTCACTCAGCCCGTCTTTCTATATCCCAAGGCGTCCCATGTCCCGTAGGTGCCATGCATACCTGAACCAAATATTTTTCTTAAAAGCAATTTACAATTGAAACCATTTTAAGAACTAACGTGAAATATGTCATGTCATACCTTTTAAAATAAAGTCTAATTTCCGTTAATCATAAAATACGTGTCATGTCATGCCAATAGTGAAATGATGCAACAAAGATATCAAACTCGACAACAATGCACATGTATATATATATACATCCGCCAAAGTGAGCAACCGGAATAACCTCGGCTCCATAATAATAGGCTCACTGCATCTGTCTAAGTGAGTAGCCGGAATAACCTCAGTCTCATAATAACAAACTCACTAGACCATCATAAAAAAATAGCCGGAAAATCCTCGGCTCAAGGAAGAACCTGATAAACCCATAATAATATAATGGTCATCCGATCACTTTCATATACCCACCATACGACTCCCACTATCAATACATGGATAGCCGAACGTTATCGCCATTAACCACAAGACGCCCCATAGTCTGTGATAGCGAAGATAGGACCCCCGCTAACTAGCCCTATTCCGTGTAATATAGTAGAATCTGTGCAATCTGGAATCACCCAAGGAAAAACCAGAAACTCTATTCCTCCTTGCGCGCCCTAACGGGATCAAGTTTGGAGTTTGACATATGATCCTAAACTATCGGTAGACCTCACTAGTAGCTACTCCAATGAGTGGAACAACATCGAACACGAATGATTAGACCAAATACGTCTCAACTACAATTGGTCTAATACCTGAATGACCGTGCGACTAAGTCACCCAGTTGTCTGACTACTATCGTCCACTATCGCCAAAGTGTTACGGTCATCGTGGTCGAATATCCTAACCCCAGATGATGCCCTCGCCTAGCACTACCGCACACGGCAACTAAACGATAGATCCATAAAATATATCCGATAAATCATGCAATATGTGTACAACATGCCAAATAAGTGAATTTACCGAAAAGGGCTGGTGAGATAGCTCACTTACCCTCATTTTCATGAATTCACCAACGCGATCAAATATGTATATCAAATATCATAAACCGTGAAGTCTCCCACATGCATACACAGACATATATATAAATATATACATGCACTGACAAAATGCTTCACATAATATCACATTAACATATTAATCAGAATCGCATTCAGCATGCATACCTAATTTCTTAAAATTATATTTAATTCCTTAATGCTTACCTCCTATCGACATTTCCTACCTTTTGCAATCTCGCTCAAATCTCCTCCAACGTACACCTGCCCCATTATTTTATCAAATCAGGTGAGCTATATTCTTATTCATAGGAGCTACCTGCTTATTTAGAAGCTAATTTCTATAATTAACTCATCGGGCTTCAAACTTTTATATTTAGTAGAATACGATATTTTAGCTATAAAACTTTTATACCTCATAATATTTATATTGCCCGATTATTAAATAAAAATATTTAAAAATATGAATATACAGGCAGGTGCAATGTACTGTCATTTTCAATTCGGCTAGGATCAATACAAAATTGTCAGAATATAACGCTAGAACTACGAATGGACTATTAACTAAAGAAATTAGTCAATTAAATAGCCAATTATGAATTTTTGAAAAATTTCTAATTTAATATCTTCAATTTCTAAATTTATATTAAAATTCATAATTAAACTCTACATATAATAAGAAATATAATACCGAAGTCAAAATTAAAATCAAAATCAAACGACTAAATCTTTTTCTTTCTTTTTTTTCCTTCTTCTTGTTTATGCACATTCTGCTTCTGCGCCTGCAATGTGTTTTGTTTGCTTTGCTTTTACATACATATTATTATTATTATTATTAGTAGCAGCAGCAGTAACGTTGTTATTATTATTATTATTATTATTATTATTATTATTATTATTATTATTATTATTACCATCCTTATCATCATTATTATATTATTATATTAAATTATTATTATATATATATATTATATTTTATACTTATCTTATTGATATTTATCTGTTTAATAATTTTTTAATCATAATCAATATATATAATAGAAATAAAATTTATTTTGAAATATTAATTTTTTTATTCTAAAATATTATAAAAATATTTATTTGCTATAATAATATTATTTTATATCGTTCGAAATCGCGATATTACAAAAATACTGCCCGAATTTTATTCTATTTTATCACGTTAAAAATATCCAAAAGAATTTGTTAAATCATATTAGAATTAAAAATATCCATATGACGCAAAAGTTTTAACATAAAAAATTAAATTAGAAAAAATATCCAAAATGTTGTTACCTTACAATCACGTTTGACGAGGTGGGCGGGTCTGGTGAGGTGGGCTGGCAGCGGACCGGCTGACAAACAACAGACGACGGACGGATGAATTGTTGGCGGACGAACTTTTGGTCAGGCAGTTGGCGTGCGTGAAATGCCGACTCGTGACCGCTGGAGAATGGAGGGAAGAAATGAATTAGGGTTCCGGAGTAACCGAATTTTCTAAAAAATCACACTGATACTGTACCGAAATTTTCGATATTTTTGGTACGGTACAGTAAATCAATATTTTGGTATTTTCGGTAATTTTATCCACCCTACCATTACTCATATCCAATAAGTACAATCGAATACAATATTTCCTTCAATTATGGCAAACGAGACATCGAATGGCATGACCATAAATTTGGAAAATTCTCAAAATTTGAAATGTTGAGTTTAAACATTGGTAAAAGAAGATGCACTTTATTCACATTACTTTGAAAATTGCGTATGTTTTGATTACTTTTAGCGAAAAGAAAAAAAAAAAAAAAAGACATTAGAGGAAACTCGTATCATGCTCTAATGGGAGTCTAATGATTACATTTGTTGTGATCACATTCTTAATGTTATGTCAAATTCTTTGTTTGACATTGACCAAAATATGGAGTCGGCCAAAACATTGAATCCAAATACATGGCAAAAGATGTATAAGCAAAGAGCTCATAATAATTATAAGATAGTAGATTTTAAACATGTCATGAAGTAGTACAATAAACTTCTATGCATCATTGGTCAATTTGCTCATAATGAACTAAAAATGAATTAATCTATTGTCGTAAAGAGTATAATTAACAAATTGTCATCGACATAGAAAAAAATATAAGCATATGTAAATATAATAAAGAAGAATTGTCCTTAGTGCAAGTTGATAGCCATATGCGCATAGAAAAATATACGAGGGCACAGGAAAATATTATAGACAAGGATGTTTTGCTAGACCACCCGTGAACATGATTGAGGAGTGTCAATAGAAGAATAATTAAAGTTCAATCATAGTAAAAAATACAAGCTTTCTTATTTCAACAAAGAAATTAAAATTAGCTTGTTAAATATGTGAAAAATATGATCACCTCAAACATGACTATTGAGTTGAAAAGATAAATCCCAGTGCAATTAGTAATCATTTGGAATAATTGTGGTAATTATCCAATGAAAACTTATACAATTGACATTTCCATATATTGTACACAATATTATCAACAATACAAGATAAAATCGTTGAGTCAATACGAGATAGAGTTTTGTTAAGCAATAAGAACACAAGTGGAATGAATAGTATACAAAACTTTATACATCCAACACATATATCAATAAACTTATATTATTATATAATGGTTGTACTAGTACCAACATATACAACAAACAATAATAATAAAATCTATGAAATCTAATTATAACAATACAAGGAATACAATTAGTGACGGAATCAACCATATAAATTTCAAGGGCAAAAATATAGATTTTTTAATCGATTCAATGTTGCTTTCTTTTTAATGCATATTCGGGCAAAAAAATTTGAAAAAATTTAAATGTTATGAAAAAAATTTCAACAAAATTACATAAAATTCAATATTTTTTTATTGTTAAAAATAAAATTTAAAGACCAAAAATATAAATCAACAGACAAAATTTTTATAAATTTTTACCTTATAAAATAAAAAAAAATAGGAGAGACAAATGATTAAATAAATATATAATTTTACTATTTTTTACACTAAAATATATATATTGGGGACTAGAGGTTTAGATCAGTTGCCCCTTTAGTCCTTGTAGATCTGCCCGGTATACAATAAAATAAGTGAATTGAATACACAAGAAAAAGACAAATGAATTGCATAAAAACTAGTCCCCAATGACTACCTAAGTAGAAATCCAATTTGCACGTCTCTTCCCAAGTTATGTGATCCATCGTATTCGTACCCACACTTGTTTAACAATTCCATTCAATATTGGTGACATGCCTCATTAAAATCCCATCTCACATTATATAAGAATTCCAATATTTATTACGTTAAATATATTTTTGAAGTTTTGAAAATTTTATAAATAATAAAAAAATTGAGTTTTTAATATAATGTTTTGTAATAAAAAAATAAATATAATATAATATAATATTATATATTTTTAAAAAATTATTAATAATATAGTAAGATATATGCATAATATATGCTATACATATATCATACAAACTGACCCGCCCCGGCGTATACGTAGAATTGGATTCAATCTGTGGCACGCACAGGTTCAGGTTTCGTTTGAACCGAAAAATTAGAGAGATAGCATAGCCGGTTCAAAATTTCAAAGTCAAGTCTATCTGGGACCCTTAGTCAACACCATACGCGTTTTAATACTACTAGTATATTTCAACTTTTCCACACAAATACACAATGCATATATATTCTTCTCTTCTCCTTCTGTTTCTTTTCTTATTTATTTAATTAATTTAATAAATCAGTAAATATCATGACATCGACGTAACTAATATTTCTTAATTCCAATTCAACACATACCTCATCATCACTCCCGTCCAACTCAAATCAATTCCACCGCCGCCGATGGCCGTACCGCCGCCGCCGCGGCTGGCCGTCCTCCTCCTCCTCCTCCTCGTTTTGGTGGAGGACCACCCGTCGGAGGCTCAACAGAGCTACATCAACAAGAAGCAGCTCGATTGCAACAAAAACCACACCGCCACGCTCGGCTTCGTCTGCAACGGCGCCGCCTCTTCCTGCCCTTCTTTCCTCACTTTCCGGTCGACCCAGACCTACAACAACCCCGCCACCATCGCCTACCTCCTCTCCGCCGACGCCTCCGAGATCGCCGCCGCCAATAATATCTCCGACGTCGACCCGCTCCCTCTCGACACTCTCCTCGTCGTCCCCATCAATTGTTCCTGCTCTCAAAGGTACTACCAACACAACGCAACGTACACCCTCAAAAAGCAAGGCGAAAATTACTTCGACGTCGCCAACATCACCTACCAAGGCCTAACCGCCTGTCAGGCCATGGAAGCTCAGAATCCGTACAATTTCCAGATGCTCAACGTCGGAATGACCATCACCATTCCGCTCCGCTGCGCTTGCCCCACCCGCAATCAGACCGCTGCCGGCTTCAGCTACCTTCTCACCTACCTCATCCGTCAGGGAGAAACTTATGAATCCATCGCTACCGCCTTCGCCGGCGCCGGAGCAGACGTCGCGAGCATCCTCACCGCCAACGAGCTCTCCGCCTCCGACTTGATCTATTTCTTCACTCCACTTCTGATACCGCTCAAAATCGAACCTACAAAACAGAACATCAACGCCGTAGCTCCGCCACCGCCGCCGCGCCCCTCCGCTCCGCCTCCAAACGCACCACCTGCGCAGGGCGGCGGTTCCGATTCCAACAAGGGGATTTTCATCGGCGTTGGAATTGGAGCCTCTCTCTTACTTCTTCTCACCTCAATTTTGCTATTTTGGTTCCTCTTCTACCGCCATCGCCGCCAGCACCACAAATCTCCACCTCCGCCTCCATTACCGCCGAAGCTCATAGACGAATCCGGAGAATCGACGACTAAATCTCTCACCAGCTGGTCGTTATCGTCAGAAGGCATCCGCAGCGCCACCGAAACCCTAACGATTTACAAATTCTCAGATCTGGAAAAGGCAACACAATCCTTCTCCGAATCCAACCGAATCAACAACTCATCAGTGTACCGAGCGTCATTCAACGGCGACGAGGCGGCGGTGAAGATAATGAAAGGAGACGTGTCGCGTGAGATCAACGCGCTGAGGCTGATCAACCATTCCCGCATCCTCAGGCTCTCTGGCTTCTGCGTCCACGACGGCCTAACCTACCTTATATACGAATACGCCGAGAACGGGTCCCTCTCCGATTGGCTACACCCGGGACCCAAGCTCCAGCCCCTCCCCTGGAAACAGAGGATTCAAATTGCCTGCGACACAGCCGATGCCTTAAACTACCTACACAACTTCACCACTCCTCCTTACATCCACAAGAACCTTACAACCTCAAACATCCTTTTGGACACCACAATGAGAGCCAAGATCACAAATTTCGGCCTGTCGAGAACATTCGACGCCGGCGGCGGAGACAACGAAGCCGTTATTACAAGGCACGTCGTGGGGACGTACGGATACATGGCGCCGGAGTACGTCGAGAGTGGATTGGTTACGCCGAAATTGGATGTTTATGCATTAGGGGTAGTGATCCTCGAGCTGTTGTCGGGGAGGGAGGCCGTGGGAGGTGACCAAGCAGCGTTGGCCGAAGCCGTGGAGGAAGTGTTGGGTGCGGAGGAGAATGTGAGGGAAAAGATTCGGGATTTTATGGATCCGTTGCTTGGGGAGGATTATCCGCGGGAGCTCGCCTACCCGGCTTTGCAGCTGGCAAGGAGCTGCGTCGATCACACCATGGATGCTCGGCCTCCCGTCTCGGAGGTGTTGGCGGCTCTGTCGAAGCTTCTTAAGGCCTCGTTGCAGTGGGATCCTTCGCGCGATTCGTCGTCACTTGTGTTAGATTGAAGAGGCTGGCTGCATTAACTAGAGTCGTTCGAATTTTGTTGTATGGATGCATTAACGAGGGTAGTTCGAATTTTATTGGAGATTAAGAAATAATAGTATTTTATTAATTAGTAAAAGTGTCGAAGAGTTTTTAACATTTTTATCCTTTATCCTTTGATTTTATATATAAAGTAAATATACTTGTAATAGTATGTTTATAATTTAAATAAAAATTAAAAATATTTTAGTATTAATATATAATTATTTTTTCTAAAATAAAATATATATTTTGAAATAAGACAGAAGACAAAGTATAATTTATATTATTGGTACGTATTGTATATTTTTATACTCAGCTGAAGATTTATCTGCCACAAACTTAGGGTGTGTTTGTTTGGGGTTTGGATTTTGAGTTGAGATTTGAATAGTAAAAATTTTGAATTTGAATAGTTGTATAATGTGATATAAATAGGTGTTGATGTGATGTTTTGAATGTAAAATTGATTTTTAGTATAATATAAAAAATGAAAAATAGGTGTTTGATTTAATATTTTTGGGAAAAAAAATGGGATAACCGTGAAAATGTAATCCAATCTCCCAAACAAACACACTCCTAGAATAACAGTGAGTTATGCGCTACCAAAAAATTATTAAAATAAAAATAACACGCGTAAAATTTTCAATGAATTTTGCATTTGTGTGTATTTTTGTGACAATGGAAATGTAACGAACACATTTAACTTTGGGACGTGGAGTCTAGAGAAGTAAAAGTTAGAGCTGCTGTTCGAATATTCTTCTGTCTTAGCCATAAGTATTAAAGAAATTTTTTGAAGTTTCCTCAAACTTTCATGTCATATTTTTTCCCATCAATTAAATAAAACGATACGTATGTATTTATATTTATATAAAAATAATTAATTTTCAAATTAAAGTAAAATATATATAGCAATTAATACACATATTATTATCTGAAAATAAAAATTTATATAATACAAAATATAAAAATAATAAATAAATAAAGACAATTACTATGAAAATAAAATAAAACAAAATAAAATTTTCATTCACTATCCAAAAAAAGAATTTTCATTACCGGACCGAGATCGTAATAAATGTAAGTTTTAGTTACAATTTTCATCATAACAAAAATAGTTTTACTGGTCAATGCATTCTTTTTAGTTATTACGATAAATTTTTTGTAACAATTACAAATATTACTAAAATAGACCTAAATATAATAATTACGATTATATTCTCTAACAAATGCACATGTATTTTCATATTTTTTTCTTTTTCTTTTAATCCAAAAATTAAAAAAACAAAAACCTAAAATGTTCAGAGCGCCCGCATTCTATCGAAGTTAAGTTTTCAGTGCGATCACTAGAAAGTGTCTCCGGCGCCGACCCATCAGGTAAGTTTTCTATACATCTCACCAATGAGAATCCTCATGTTATTCAAAATTGAAATCCGATTTATTATAATTTTTTTTTTTTTCAAGAACAATTTATAGTTTCTAACACTAGGTTTTTTGCTACTCCTCTTCCTCCGTTTGCGTTCTATAGAAGTTAGGCTTCAGGTGTGATCACCGGAAAGTGTCTCCGGAGCCGACCCACTAGGTAGTTTTCCATACATCTCATCATTGAGAATCCTCATGTTGTTCGAAATTGAAACCTGATTGGTTGTAAGTTTTTTTTTTTCAAGAATAATTATTTGTAGTTTCTAGCACTAGGTTTTTTGCTACCACGCTTTAGGGCTACAACTACTCCCTTTTCTGCGCATGCATTCTATCGAAGTTAGGTCTTCAAGTATGATCACAGGAAAGTGTTTCCGGCGCCGACCACCAGGTAAGTTTTCCATACATCTTACCATCGAGAATCCTCATGTTGTTCGGAATTGAAACACGATTAGTTGTAAGTCTTTTTCTTTTTTTTTTAAAGAATAATTATTTGTAGTTTCTAGCACTATGTATTTTGCTATCGCGCGGCTTTCTCCCCTGCCGTGGTTCGGCCACTCTCAGGTAGTTGGCTTCTCCCCTTCCTCCCTTCCCTTATTTCTGCTTGCCCTACTCTCATTCCTTTCCCTGTCATCACATCATTGCTTGTTCGCGATTTTTGTTTTTGTTTGTTTTGTTTTGCGTTTTCATTCCATTTGTTCATTGCTTGTTGTTGGTGTTGGTTGTTATGGGATTCCACCATGGGCTGAATTGGTTCCTCTTCCTAAAAAAATATGTGTTGAAAATTTTAATTCTTGTTCACACATGCTACCTATTTGACAAAATTCATCAACTAAGTTTGGTAGAAATTAGAAATTGTGATGTTAAAAATGGGAATGATAAAATGATAAGATCCCTATGGTTAGAATTTGGGGTTTTTATGGCTACCGATGTAGATCTATTTTATTTTCTTATTTTCAATAAATAATATTTTAAAAAAAATACTTCATTGATGGAAAAATATTTTATTTGCATATTCAATTTTTGCGTTATGCTATCTTTATTGAACTTTAATATTGTTGTAGCTTTACTTTATGGATTTATGTGGATAAAGACTCTACCGTAATTATTTTTATTGAATGAATGGGTTTTGTAAGGAAATAAGGTTCGATTATGAAATTTATAGTGGTGTTCCATTTGTTCATTGGTTGTTATTGGTGTGGGATTCAGCCATGGCTGAATTTGTGGGTTTGACGAAATTAAGAAATATCTTCCTTTTTTATTTTTTATTTTTTGATAACATAAGAATCCGCAACTGCTATCCGAAAGTGCGCACTGGATAAACCTCACACTAAGCGAACCATGTGTGACAGGTGATCTGGAGGCGTCAGGGGTTTGAACCCATGACCTCACGGTCATAAGTCCACCCCCACACTATTAGGTTATCCCTTACGGGACAATTTTTGTTTATCATTCTTATTTCTTTATTTTTACTTGTGCTTACATGTTGTATTAACAATAGAAAATATATGTCATAAGTGGCAAGAAGTCATTCTAGAATGTCTTCATTTTCATTCCATTTACTTGTAGTGTTCTTAGTATTATTTATTTATTCTGACAACGTAGGAAGTCGCAGCTGCTACCCGAAAGTGGCACTGGGTTAACCTCCCGGCCGAATCTAATACCCAACAAATTAGGCCCGACAAGGCAAGTTTCACTAGGCGAACCATGCTGTTCTTAGTATATTTGGACTTATATGTGATGGTTCAGCTTGTTGTTTTTTAAGTGCATTCGTATACTTCCATATATATGACAATGTTATGTAGTTTCGTTCCATGCTGCTAGTTTTTCATTCTTAATGTTACTGTTAGCCTATTCCTTAATTTGAAAATTTATTATTACTTTAATCTTTTCAAATCCGACTAATATTTTAATCGTGATAAGCTAAAGTTTGTTGGAAAATTTCAAGGATTGAACTTGAAGTCAAGTCTCAACATGATGTTACACTGATTATTTGGTACGTAATTTAAGGGTTGATGATTTTGAAGTTCTATGATATTGCAAGTACTAAGTAAGACCATTTCATAATTGAGTGTTGGGTTTATCTGACATTTGTTTTATGTCTTCTTTTTCTATTAGTTTTTTTTTTTATTCAAATTGGTGAAGAAAACTTATCACAAATGTGTGTCCTGTCCAGTCCAATCTTGTTTTCTAGTATTGTTACTTGCCAATATGTTTGAAGGTTTTAAATTCATTCATATTTTTTTTTGGAGTAATGTATTTGTTCTTTAATGATTAATGGGGTGAATATACTCCAATGACAATAATGATGAATCTACAGAAATAGAGAAAATATTTCAAACGACATTTTATAATATTTATCATATTTTATAGCCATATATTTATATGAGTTTATATGAGTATTCTTGTCTCTGTTTTTAGTATTTTTTTTTATTCTTTTCAAGCATTTCCAAATACGAAATCTATACATGGTAAATCTTGTATTTTCAATCTATAATAATTGTAAGAGTGAATTGACACAAGGGCATAAGGTGCAGCTCACTCTGGACATGATATTGAAACTAGTCTGCAAGGTAAGTCAACTCGATGAACTTGTTCGTATTAATTGATACAATATATATATATATATTTGAGCTTGATTATCTATATGTTAGCTTATTATTACACTTCCGTATTAAATTAATATGGATTAATTGTAAAGTGATTATTATTTATGATCATGTATTTGGTTTGTTACCCTCTAAAAATCAATGTTATGCTATGTGATTAACATTTTAAGAATTAAATGCATGTGTTATTGACACATATTCAACTATTTCCGATGGCCCAAAAACTTTATCTACATTTGCATTTGTGATATACCATGTTAAAATTGTTGTCACCATACTACATGTTTGTAGGAACAATCCCTTTCAGTTGTAATCAATTATGTGGCTACTGTGATACCACAGGTTTGTTTCACTTTTATGTTGTTAGTTGTGTTGAAAATCTTATAATATTTAGTTTTTAATTTCTGCTTTGATCTGTTGCTCCAGAAAGAAATTCACAAGATCTTATATATATTTTTTGATCGGAAATACTATGGAGTACATATATAACTATGAAAAGTATATTTATAACTATGTTGGACATACCCAAAAATTCAAAAGAGACACAAAAAATACAGTGACAAGTCCACCAAAATGGCTAAGAAATGTTAATCGGTCTAAAGCTTGAACGTTTTCGATGTTGCGACCATTCCCAAGTCCGATAAAAACATGGTTGAAAGCTCCATCTATTGGGATTGAAGATTCGAAGACCCAAATGTCTGCCTGAACTAAACTACGATGCCTCTGTTGGTTAAATAGTAGGCTGAAGCAGGCCTATGTTAAGACTGTTCGTGGTGTGGTAATCATCAAGCCTTCTCTGAAGGTGATCAATGATGTTGTGAAGATATTGAGATCATCCAACATGCACTAAATTGAGTAAAAAATTCAAAAACATCATACTTTGATTTTAGATATCGAAATGTTGGAATCTAATGCAAAATTCTCAAACGTGGCTTTATTTAGAGTTGTCCAAGTGTAATACATCATTGTTGCTAAACCCATTCTTCGCATAACCTACATATTTGGATATTTAGTCTTGAAGTTTTGAATTTAGTCTATCGTTTTAGAGATTGTTTCCAGCCCCAATAGCGCTTTGAGCCAAAAATAGACTCCCGAGCAC